GAAAAGAAACTACAATGAAGGCAAAATAAAATGTATTCTACTTTAATTTTATTTTTCTTCTTTCAAAATGTCTTCTTTAAGCATAGGTGACTGAACAATGTAAACTGACAAATAGGAAAAGAGTTTGCTTCAGTGACGACAGTGGTCTTTCTGGAAAGCCCTTATAATATGAAACATGAATAGAATATACTAAGATGGTTTTGTTTTACCCTAGAAGCCTAAAATATGACACAAGTTTAATTAATATGTATCCAGGGTACTTGTTACTAAACCTGAGCGAGCTAATTCTTAAAACCCATCCTTCAGTGTTGTCACCATTGGAATGGAGAAAATGCATGGGTAAGTGTAGGCCCATATTGCCTTAAGAAAGCAGGTTACACCATAGATAACTGAAGAAGCAGACTTTGTTGCCATTAAACATGAAATTAATCAGAGGTTTGAGTTTCCTAACATTTACCAGGATATTTCTCCAACAACATGTTTCTTTCATTACCAAGGAAGCAAACTACATCAGGAGGATGAGATAGGAAGATCATGAGTTCAAAGCCAGCCTCAGCAACTGCAAGGCGCTAAGCAACTCAGTGAGACCCTGTCTCTAAGTAAAATACAAAATAGGGCTGGGCATGTGGCTCAGCGGTTAAGTGCCCCTGAGTTCAATCCCCCGTACCCAAAAAAGAAAAACAAAAACTGTTACAATTGCATGTTCAGAATTAAATAATCTCAATAATAGTGAAAGCAAAGGTAGTCTCAGTGTTAGGATCTCAATGCACTTCTTATTCTAATATATTATGCTGTAATAGTTCCTCTTTACTTCCATGAGTAATGTGCAACAAACAACACTTATGATTTTCACACTTCAATTTTTCATTATCAATGAACTTCTTACTTCAATAGAGCAACATAATTCAGTGGCTTCTGAATATGGATTTAGAGGAATATAAGCTTCATAAGGCCCTGTGATATAGAACAAAAGAATTCACAAGATCTGGTTTTCACGTATTTTGTTTTCCTAATCATGTAGCTGGTCTAAATATCGAACTATCAGGTTCTCATATGTTAAACAGATTGCAGGTACTGCACAGAGAAGTGCTGTACAATAAATTGTAAATGATAAAACTAGTAAAAATAGGAAGAAGAGGGCATGAAGGAATAGGCAGGAGTTGAACATATTCACATTAAATTCAAGTCTTGCCTGATAGCATAAAGTGGCTAAATAATATCAAACATGAAGCCAATAACAAATAATGTGTCAATTGCATACCAAAACAAAATATAATACTATTTAATATTGTATTATTTTAAAATAAATGTTAAATATTACAGTGATAAGCTCTTTAATCTTTTAAAAAATGTTTTTTAGTTGTAGATGGACACAATATCTTTGTTTCTTTGTTTTTATGTGGTGCTGAAAATTAAACCCAGTGCCTCACACAGGCCAGATAAGCTATGGCCCCTCCCCATCCAGGCTCTTTAATCTTATTGATAAATGTTGATAAGCAGTGCCCAACTTCAGCAGATATTCAGTAAAAATATTGAATGAATATATTGAATAATAATAATTGATTTCTACGTTTTTTATTTAAAGTAAAGATCACCTCTCAACCACTCCATTCTGGCAAAAGTGCCATGAGTCATTCCAACTGGGCTATGGCTCTCAGCAGGAAAACACAAAATCCACAAACAGCAAGATGCAGCTAGAGCTTAGCCTCCAGAGAGCAGTAATAGTGGGAGACAAGTAGGTTGGAATTGCATATATAAGATTCTGATTACCCTGCTAGTCAGGACATCACCATGTAGGGAATGGAGAGACAGACTGTCAGTTTTGTTTCATTACCTGAAAAGTAATCTGGTGAGATTTAAAATTTAGAAAGATGTCTCTGCAGGATTGTGAAAAAATGAAATACAAAAGGGCAGACTGGGGGGGTAGCAGTTAGAAGACTACTAATGTGCTATTTCATCTGAAAAAGAATAAAATTTTGAATTGAGAATTGCAGCAGGAACTTGAGCAATCTGTAGGGCGTAGAATAGACAAAACATGAAAAATATCAGGGCTGGAGTTGTAGCTTAGTGGTAGAGTGCTTGCCTGGCACATGTGAGGCACTGGTTTCAATTCTCAATACCACATATAAATAAGTAAATAAAATAAAGGTCCATTAACAACTAAAACATATTTTTAAAAAACATGAAAAATAATTGCAATGGAAAGTGAGGGTGTGAGAGGGATTTTCTGCTATAGTTTCTGGTTTGATGACTGGGATGGATAGTAATGACAATTTTTTGAAGTAAAAGAGAAGGCATGGAGGAGATATGGGGGAAATACATGTTAACTGTATAGGATATTATGTTACAAAACTAAGAAATATGTATTGCAAAGAATATTTATTTATTAAGTGCAAACTATAGAAATGTTGGTAAAAATGGGAAATTTGACCTACTAAATCACAAACTGTGTAAGAGGAACTCTACTTGTCAATATTATTTCTCTTAGTAAAAGAGGATTTATTTGGGAATCCTTTGTCTTCATTTTAGGTAGTGTCTGCCTTATTGAGTAAAGTTGGAAACTATTCAGGGAATTGATGCCTAAAAAAGCAACTTGGCTCATTGAAGGGAAGATAACACTTGACTAATGCACTAGAACTACTTGAGGTTGTTGATAAATTTGTTGGCTGGCTTTGTGAGGTCATAAGTATTTTATAACATCTGATCAAACAATCTGATCAAATATCTGATCTAAACCCTTGTAAGTATACATATTTACATATGTACAATACTCTGCTTGTGATTTCAAGATGAACATCTATGGACATCTTTGTGTTGCATTAACCTCAACTTAAGCTGTAGGTTTACAGGTGGACAAATTTAGTTATAAAAATAAATAGACTTAGAGATTATAGGGAATGTTTTCCCTTCCAAGTATACTCATAGAAATAAAAATTTTACAATTCATCAATAATTGATATTTGGACTACATCATCTTTTTAGAGGTGAAAGAGTGGAGATGGGCCTGTGAACTGGAATTGTGGAAGGGTTGGAAGAATGCCTGGCCTTTACTCACTAGATGCTGTTAGCAGCTTCCTTGCAACAAACACAAATATCTGAAAACATTGTCAAATCTTTTCTTGGAGTCAAAATTACTCCATTAGAGAATCATTGAAATAGGTAAATAGGTAATTATCTTTATGTTTATAAAACTCTCATAGAAAAAAAAAAGTTATGGGAATTTTTTTTTTAACAACAGAATCAGTAAGTTAACAGCTAAGACCATAGTTTAGGTGTTCTATTTTTAGGACAACTCATCTTTTCCATTTCCTCTATACTTTTATGGGGCAAAAAATATGTCCCTTCCATAGCTGGCTGAGAATCACACAATTTAATCCTTAAATCATAGCAGCTATTTTTTAATGCTTATTTTTCTCTGATTCTTCTAAAATTAACCTCTTCTCTTTTTTAAATTTTATTTTTTAGTTGTTGATGGACCCTTATTTTATTTATTTATTTGTATGTAATGCTGAGAATCAAACCCAGTGCTTCACACATGCCAGGAAGAATTCTACCACTGATCCACAACTCCAACCCTAACTTCTTCTTTCAGACATCAAACATTCAGTCTTAAGTAATAGAGAAATAGATATTTCTTTTTTAAATTATTTTTGTTAATTTTAGCACTAAGAAATACATCAACTCAATCAGGTATGAGGGCACATGCTTATATTCCTACCAACTCAGAATCAAGCAGAAAGATTGATAGCAAGTTCAAGGCCAGCTTTGGCAGTTTATTGAGAACCTGACTCCAAATAAAAGAAAAAGGGTTGATGATCTAGTTTAGTGGTAGAGTGCCCCTACGTTCAATTCCTAGTACCAAAAAGAAAGAAAAAGAGGTGCATGGTGGCAGGAAAGAACAAAAAATAAAAATTAATAAAATTTAAAAAAAGAAGAAGAAAAAAATATATAAACTCAAAAATAAGTGAAATATTACAAAAGCTACCAATTGAAAATACTACCATCTGTGGTTTGAGTAAGTCTGTTTTTCTGGAAAACGTTAATTTTGCTCATTCTCTAACAGGAAATCTTCAGGCACTGAGATATATTGGCACTATGTGTATGTATGTGTGTGTGTGTGTGTGTGTGTGTGTATATATATATATATATATATCCCTGTTAATACCCACATGTACAGATGCTTACAAATCAATATAAAGGCTGTTCTACTCTGTCATTTCTCTATATCCCCTTGCTCCATATACAATGACTTATATTTTCTTGGTTATCATTCACATTTCTTCTTCTTTCTTTCTTTTTTTCCCCATATACTAGACACTGGTGTTTGCTCCAGTATTTATTGCCCGGTATCCTAATTATATTACCCACTGTTGTTCTGGGGGAATATTTTCCTAAACTCAGCCCACGTGTTATAGGTAATCTGGAAGACAGACAGCACTTTTTGAAAATAGAAAACCTGATTTTTAGCTAAATAGCCTACCATGCAAAATAAATGATATCTTAAAGTTAAATATGGTCATGTGGCAATGTTGAAAAAGGATGGAAACCTTTTGTAAAGAAAATTGGCTAAGAACCTGGGTCAAAATTTTCTTCCTTTCTCCCAGTCTGCTTCCTGAATGTGAATTTGATGCCTGGAGCTGTGGCTACCATGTCAGTCAGTTAGTGTGATACTATTATGTTAGGTATGACCAAGGGGAAAATTTCAGGAAAGTGCAGTCCTTGAGGCCTTTGCAAACCAGATCTACCATATGAGTCCTGACACATATCAAGATTTATATAGAATGATTAAACAGTATCTTCCCTTTTTCCACTCACTGTAATCTGGGGGCTCCATTATTCATACATGGGAACTTAATTTTAACTGATATTGGTAAGAATCCACCCTCTATCTAGGATGTAGCCTGTGGTTGAAGTCCAAGCCACCCATGTGATCACACTCCTTTATTTCATAGGTTGGCATTCATTATACAAATATCTTATATACAATAGCATATACTCACCACTACATCAAGACTCTTTTCTGTTCTGCCAAAAAAAAAGGAAAAAAATAAAAAGAAAATAAATCAGGCAATCAAGTATCAAGATGCTGTAATTCTAAAATCAAAAATCTCTTTAATATTGTGTATTAATTATGAAAGTCCACTTAAGTCTGTCTTAGACATGGGGCTTCAAACAAAAATAAATGTACTTATAGGGCTCACAAAATGTGCTCTGTTGTGGTAATTTTGAGATGAGCTTTTATTCCATTAACAATTAAGTTTGTTGGGCTGGGGCTGGGGCTCAGTGGTAGTGCACTTGCCTGGCACGTATGAGGCACTGGGTTAGGTTTAATTTTCAGCATGGCATATAAATAAATAAAATAAAGATCTATCAACAACTAAAAAAATTAAAAAAAAATACTAAGCTTGTGCATACTTCATATTTATTTATTTTTCCCCTAGTGAAGAGGCTTCAAACAGTAACATTGAGATAATTATGGTTTAAAGTAAACAAGTTAGAATATCTATACATTTTATTAAATTATTTTATGGTGAAGCACTTTCTCCATATTGCCTATTTATAGTATGATACATTCTGGGAAATACTATATTAAGGCACTCATAAAAAAACTGAGTTAGAATGGGGTCAATTTTACTGAATATAGATCAAATATTACACTAAAACCTATTCCTTATTCTATTTAAAATACTTTTAAAAGTAAGGATGCTAACTTTTAAAATGCAGATAAGACAAAGAAGTAATCAGACTCATTTATTCAACATATTCAAAATTGTGTCATAAAAAATCATCATCATGAACATACTGATAAATAATAAGTTTTAGGTCATTTTTAAAGTACATAACTAGAAGTTAGACAATATACATTTATTTATTGTGATAACAGATGAAGATATTATCTCACTTTAAATTCCTACAACCTCTACTAGATTCAATATAAATTGGAACTCATTTAAAAATAAATTGTGTTTTGCACAATGATGTTATAGAATGGGTATAGATAGTAAAATAGGTACTATAGGAAAACATAACAACATATCTATTATTTCACATATTTACACAAAATTTGTAATAATACCATTAGAAATCTATTTACTGAACTAAAATTCCTTATGCAATATATGATTTATTAATTTTAGTCTTCATGTACATTAGGTCTCTAAACTCCTTCACCTTAAATATCAACTAATTTGTATTCATTGGCTAACAGCTCCTCAATTTTTCTTCCTCTTCCCCCACCAGTGATAATCAGTTTCATTGTCTTTGTGTGCATTACACACACACACACATATACGTATACACACACACATATGTATACATAATTCAGCCTTAAATAAAATGAAACACATTTTTCTTAAGATCCAGTGTGACCTTGCAGTCTGAAGATTATAGCCTTTAGTTTATTTTTACATTCTGCTTATTCATTGAAACTCCAATCATGCTTCACTTTACCTCCTTTGACTCTTTTACACATATATCAATTTCCATACAGCCATTTTATATCTTTATTGCTTTGTCTTTCTTTTATGTGATTTCCTCAAGCCTATAAAAGTGTCTCTGGTTGGATTTTCTATCATTTTTATGATATTTTTATAACACTTTTATCTTATCACATCAATTGCATTTAAAAGAGAGACCATTTTTTGTATTGTCTTTAAAACTTAATTTTTTTTTGTCTGAATTCTTGCCCCCTATAGACAACAGGTAATTCTGTCATGTTTTTTATGCACCTTTTCTTCTTTTGTAGGTTGTGTGTCCCCTTGCTTATGTTTGTGTTTTAAATGACAACATAAATACTGTCAAACATGCCTACAGTGAGTGTCCTCTTACTAAGTCAGCTATTTCCTTTTGCTATACACCCACCTTTGTCCCCACACCTCCATATGTCAGTCCTTAAGCAATGGTGACTTTGTGTGTTTCATTGAAAATCCCCTTGAGATCCGTGTACTTTGAAATGCCAAATGCCCTCCATTGTCTGGCATTAAGTAGTTGTGTGAATTTCAAAAAAGAGAAATAGAAAAAGAGAGCAAAGAGGAGAAGCAAAAAGAAAGGAAGGAAGGAAGACAGGGAAGAAGAAAGAAGGAGGGAGGGAGGGAAAGGGAGAGAGGGAGGAAGAAGAAAGAAAGGGAAAGGAAACATAAAAAGTTATGCTTTTCTTGCTGTGGCAACTGCTCCCAGTCTGCAGCACTGAGTGTGGTATTCTCTAGTCTCTCACTTTACGCCTAATGGATTATGTAGTGAGATCTGTGAAGAACCAGTGGACAGGTATGGATTTCCCTTGTGTTGGTGGCTTTCAGGGTCCTTTTATCTTTTGTGTGACCATACTCAGTCTTTAGCAATTGGTAAACCTTTTAGGTGAATTCTTATTACCAGCTCATATGGTGTTGGTAAACTAGTGCTCATGTCCTGTTTCTTCCTGGAGGAACATATCTGTCTTCAGATTTCATGCTACTGATTTGCCCTACAATCTCAACTCTCTTGTGGATGCAAGAAAAATTATGATTCAAGTTATATGAAATAAATTAATTTGATTATTATAATACAAAAGAAAAAAAGTTTTTGTTTGAGAATAGTAAACAGTGTTTTGCTTTTGGATAACTGGGAAGAAGGAGAGTTGGGTTTCAGTGAATAAAGTTGGGTAAAATTGTCGGTGTCTTTGAATTTCCTCCATAGTGTAATGGTTTGGGCATAATGGAAAGCATACTTTAGAGACTCTAATGAATGTAAGGCTAACTTCACTTCTTACAGAGCCCTTGCTAATTCTTTGGGGTTTCAATCTAGGACCGTGTCATCAGAGCTTGAACTGTGACATTGCAAGTGTACATACAGAAGCATATATTGAAGTTCATACAGAAGAATCCCACGACATCTTCAAGGTAGTTTTGTTCTTATATACAATAATGTGAGTTCAATTGCATTATTTCCTTAGCTTTAGAGCAATATTTAAACAAGTTAAGTCTACCCATCAACACCATAGTTGTAGTCAATATCTGAGCAAGGAAAGCAATTGGTTGAAACTTTTCTTTGATTTCTTCTTTATTCCTAAATTAAATTTGCTATATGTGTCCCTTTCTAATATTTTTGAGCTTCATATAAATACTAAGAAAGCAAATTATAAGAAATGTAACCTGCAATAATTCTGACTGCAACCATTTCATTTCTTCAGAATACTTTTTAAAAGCTTTTTTATTCTGGTAGTATCCTGTTCATAAATATGCAGGTGAATAGTATTAAAAAAGTATAAAATTATACTTTTCTTCATACATTTAGACCAGTAGTATGAGTTCTTGAGGATAAGATTTTCACTTCAGTTTCTCCCCATGTTCAATTAGAGACAAAGCCATTTTTTTCTATTACCTAATAATAGATTTTTCCTAAGGAGTGAACAGAGAAGGAAACAGTACCTAAAATACCACAGAGGAATTACAACATTAGGAACGTTCAAAGATTAAAATGAATAATAACGGACATTAAGAAAAGGACTAACAAATTATAATATCTAGTACTAATTCTTTATAACATTTTCCAGAATTATTTTGTATGATCTTACTATTCTATAAAGATAGTCTTAACTCATTGGATACAAAAATATGGGGATACTAACTATATTAATATTGAGTGGACACCACTTATTGTATGATTTCATGTATATGATATAATCAAACAAGAGAAATCTATGGAGACCAAAAGTAAATTACTGAATGATTCAAGTTGGGAGTAAGGGGATGGAAATAGACTTTTAATGGGCATTACAATTTATATCTGGAATGGTCCCCAAAGTGTCATAAGTTCCAATTTAGAAATGTTCAGAGGTGGGGAACTTTGAGGAAGTTATTGAATCCTGAAGGCACTAATATCATCAGTAGATTAATCCATTGATACATTTATAATCCACATTAACTATTGAGAGGATATGAAAACTATAGGAGATGGAACCTAATTGGGGGAATGTGTCTTTAGGGGAGTGGCCCTTGTAGAATATATCTATCTTGTCCCAGCCCTCTCTCTCTCTCTGCTTCCAGGCTGCCCTGAGCTGACCAGCTTTCCTCTACCACACCTTTCCACCATGGTACCCTCACCACCCTATAGGCCCAAGGCAAAGGAGGTGGCTGACCATAGACTGAAAGCTCTAAAACTGTGGTCCAGTTTTAATAAACATCCATTATACAATCAGTTCTAAAATTAGCAACTTTTAAAATTAACCTTCTTTTAAGTTATTTTTCTCAAGCATTTGTCGTCTTAGCAATGAAAAGATGACTAAGATAACAGGTATGGGATTTCTCTTTGGGGTGATAGAAAGTTCTAAAAATTAGATTGTGGTTATGGTTGTATAATTGGGAGAACATAAATAACTGATTCTGTACTTTAAAGTGGTGAATTTTGTGATATCTGAATTATGTATGAATATATATTTTTTTTAATCAGGGAGGCAGCCAGGCCTGAAATCCCAGCTCTTTGGGAATCTGAGGCCAGAAGATCTCAAGTTCAACACCAGCCTCAGCAAGTAAGTGAGGCCCTCAACAACTTAGCAAGACCTTGTCTCAAAAAATAAATAAGCCAATGATGTAGCTTAGTAATAAAGCACCCCTGGGTTGAATCATTAGTACAAAAAAAAAAGTGGGTAGCAAGAATTCTGTCACTCTATATTGCAAATGCTTTTCTAATGCAAAAAAAATGTATTTGGAAGAGGTAATATAAATGGTATCAAGCTATGTTACAATGAAAATTTCATTTCGAGTCTATAGTAAAGTTTGCTGTATTTACTCTTGCGTGTGTGTGTGTGTGTGTGTGTGTGTGTGTGGTGTTGGGCATTGAACCCAGGGCCTTGTGCATGTGAGACAAGCCTTCTATCAATTGAGCTATATTCCCAGTCCTCTTGCATTTTTTTTTGAATAGTTACTTTTTGATGACTAATTCCATCTTGTAACATCCTAACATTTTTGGCTGTTTTCAAATTTCTTTGGGATTTAGCTGTAGTGAAATAGTACTTTTCACTTTGTGAAATAAAAGCAATTTCTGCTTTTTCA